GAGAAGATTAAATGGGTTTAAGTCTGGGCGTCTGTCACATCACAACCAAGCCCATAACTTCCATTTTCTATTAAAAATCTATTTCCCCCTTTGACCAGAAGAAGCTTTGCTGTTGTTGATCTGATCTCTCTCTCTATTTATGAAGTGTTTTTCCCTCCTCTCGTTCTCTCTGTAAATATGCCTGGTTCTGTCTGCAGAGGAGAAAGCCAGGTGGGGTAGGGCTATGGCTGAGATTTAAGGGGAAAGTCAGAGTTTCCTGTCCAAGGATTTGCTGTCCACTGAGGACCGGCTTCCCGAGAAGAAGTGAAGGAGAATCCTTACAAGGCCTCGAACTTTGAACTCTTCTGTGTTGTGATGGAAGAAACTCAGGCTTGGGAGCCAGGCAGACCTTAATTGACTGTTGGCTTTGTCTCCTTCCGGCTGTACAATTTGGAGACTCTCTCCCTCCGTGAGCCTCTTTTTCCTCACCTGTAAAATGAGACTAACAGGACCCACCTCATATGATCTGCACGAGGATTACGTGAGAAAACACCCTTGAAGCACACAGCAGGCACCCAATCGATGTTTGTTTCCTTTCTTCTGAAAATGCTGTGCCATCAGCCAGGCCAGAAAGCCTTCAGGGGAGTAGGTGTATGGCCACAGTGAAATTAGACCAGGGGCTACAAGCCCTTCTGCTGACCCTCTGCCCTGGGCTGTACCTTTCGTGCTAGGTTAACCCTTTCCTGCTCTTCATCTTCTTTGCAAGCTCCCAGGCGGTGGGGGGCCATTCTCCCTTGCTTTTGATGCTTTCCACCACACCTGGGGTCCTGCTGAGCACATGGCTGGTGCTGGAGAAAGATCTGAAGGAACAAAAAGTCTTCCCTGGTCCCAGGTCAGGAAGGACCTAGGAGAGGAGAGTGCTGAAGGGTGCAGGAGTCACCTGTGGGTTCAGGGCTGCAGAGTGGGGCCCTGGCCATCCTTTGCAGTAACCTTCACCTCCCTGGTCCCCTCAGGGAATCACTGGGACACGAATCACAACCCCACCCCTTATATTCACTCATCCTTATTATGGGGAACCACATAATTTTCCCATGTTTTTACCTGCTCGGCAGCACTGGGGAATGGGTAAGACGGTACAATCCTCCCCCTTTTGTGAATCAGGTTCAGAAAGGCTATGTGGCTTGCCTGATGTCACACAGCAGGTCAGGATTGAGCCCCAGAACGAAGCTCTGTCAGACTAGTCCCAGGTCTCCATCAATTGACCCACACTTCTGTGCTCCTCTCCAAGCCAGCTGAGGCTTTGTCACTTCTCTGAAGATTCAAAGAGGAGCCTGAGAAGGAGGGAAAATCCCCACCAGAGAAGTCTCTGTAGTCTCCATGAGGTCGGAGTGATGCCCCCAGACCCTTGCTAGTCCCCCTTCTATGACTAGTGACTGAACGTACCCACTGCTGCTGCAGCCGCTCACAGGTGCCCTGCACCAGCCTTCATCTTGGCACGTGGCAGAGATTTGAGGGGGATTCATGCCTCAGTTTCCCCTTTGTGGAGTTGCTCACTCCTTTCTCCTGGCAGGTGGGATGAGGCTGAATTAATGTTTATTTAAAGGCTTCTGCATTCCAGGCTGACAGGTGCCTTGTGATGGTAAAATGTGAGCCCAACATAAGTGCAAAATGCTATTGTTTTACACCTGAGGGTGATGTTTCATGACGGCAATGCACTGTCAGAGCCTTAAGCAGAAATGAATGGTTTGTCTAATCCTCCCCAGCTCCCTCAGACTCGGAGGACAGCAGCTCACATCCAGGGGTGGGAGAAATATGAGGCTACTTACCTTTTGCTATAAATCTGCCGTTTCTTCAGCCCTGACAGGTGATTGGACAATCCCAGTCAATTCATCAATTAAATCTACCCATTTGTAGCTGCTGAGAACCCAGTGTCCTTGGCTCCAGCAGGATCCAAGGCCCAAGTACAGGAAGGCTGTTGCTATTATGGTTGATGGTCTTGCCAGGAGCTGGTCGCCGAGGGAATTCTGTGGAAGGGGTTGTCTGCCAGCAGGACAGGTGGGGTGGATTTCCAGCCAGGAGAGGAGACTAGGAATGTGTATTTAGAGTGGGTTTGGGATGGAAGACAGGATGGGGAAGGGTACCCAGACTGGAAAACCAGATTTTGTGGTTGGATTCCTCTTGTCTTCAGCATGGATCATACAATAGAACAGTTTCGTACCCCCCTTCTCTGAAGTCAGGCAAAGTTGGGACCTGGCCCAGATCCAGCACTTACATTCTGAGTTACTTTGAGTAAGTTAGTTAAGTTCTCAGAGCCTTGATTTCCCCATCTGTACAATGGGAATAATAATAATAACATCCCCTAGAGAGTCATGAGATTATGTGAGATGTTACCTAAAACAGATCTAGCGCCCAGCCTGGCCTGTAGTTAGTGGTCTCTGTGGTGTCTATTATTAGTGCTGCTGGCATTACCATCGCTGAGGGTGACAGTGTACTCTTCCTTCAATATTTTCTTACCCTGCCCCTTGAATCAGATGATTCCTGAGTTCCTCTCTATCAGGGATCTTTCTCAGCTTCCTAAGTCCATTTGTCAGGCATAATGTAGAGTCTTTCTGTTCCTTGATGGATTTTGGCTTCCAAAATCCATAAAGCTGCCACGGTGAGGATGTCTGATTAACTAGGTTGTCTCAGGAAGTACCCAGAACCCCGGAGTGATATCCCTGCTCCCATAGTCTGAAATGTCAAGTCCAACAGGAGCCCCTCCTGGGATGAATGTGTGTGTGTGTGTGTGTGTTTGTGTGTGGCTGTATTAATTCAGGTCCTAGCCAGCTGAATATGAAAGTTGGTGGCCAGGTGGTGTTTGAGGAAGGTATCTTTATAATTGCAGTGGTTACAATCACCGAAAGGTTAAGAAATCAGACTCTGGGCTCAGATTGCCTGCGTCTGTGTCCCAGAGGCCCCACTTACCGGTTGTGCGGTCTTGGGAAAGTTGCTTTGAAACTAAGTGCCTTAGTTTCCTCATCTGTGGACCGGGATAATGATAGTACCTCCCTCATGGGGTTGTTGGGAGGATTAAAAGAGGTCATATAAGTAAAGTGCTTACAATAGTGTCTGGATGTAGTTAACCAGTCTTTGTTGACTGAATCTCAGTAAGGAAGTCTTTCAAAAGGTGAGCAGGCTCCTGCCAGGGGAAGCTGGTGAGTGTGGGTCCTAAGAGAAGCTTCCGAAGCCTCAGTCTGCTTACTTGTGAAATGGTATGATTTCATGACCTTGGAGGATACTCTAGCCCCTGCGAGTTGGACAAGCTTCTGAGGGTCCCCTTTGGGTGGGCCACTTCCTCTTCCACAGAGCAGACTGGCTCAACCAGCCACACGGGGACTGTCACAGGAGAGGCAGTGTGCGGGGGCAGATGGAAAGGCCGTGCTGTCCCCCTCTGCAGCCGCTTAGGGCACAGGGCCAGGTGGGGACAGCAAATGCATTTGCTGCTAAGAGGAGGCCCCTGACACCGCAGCAAGGAGCCCACGGATGCGTTTTCCAGCACTGCTGCTAATGGCTTCATCACAGCTTTTTATGAGATGATGTGAATTGCTCTGACCAATGAGGCTTAATGGCCTTCCTCAACGAGCTGCCCGGTATATTCTCCCTGGAGGCTCAGCTCAGTGCTAAGCCGAGAATATTAATATGGTCCGGATGCGGGCCCTCCCCCTCCCCATAAAGTTGTGGAAATTGAGGTCAAGTTGGGTCCCCGCAACGTTCTTTAAACAAGCAGCCGAGTGGTTTGTTTGCTCCTTGATCTTCCTGGTGGAGAGGGAGTGGCTTCCAGCTGGAGACCGGGGACCAGGCCCCCTTTTCTTCTGGGCTTGCCTCCACTTGCTCAGAGCTGGCCCTTCTGAACAGGGCAGGCTGCTTGGAAGGGAAGGCGGGCCCTGATACCACCATTCAGGGCCGCTTCCCACAAGGGTAGGGAAGACTGGGGTCTGATGCTGGGATGAGAGTTGCAGACAGGTGTCCTCCTGGTCTGGTGGCCTTGATGTTGTCAGATAGCTGCAATGGTGAGTGTGTTCTCCTGTGTGGTTGAGTGTTGCAGTGGCAACACGTCAGAAACCCACGGGGTCTTTGCAGCCTTGTGCGTCCTCCCTCCATTTTACGAGTGAAGGAGCAGATGGTCAGAGACGGGAAGGGAATTCCACCGTTGGTCAGTGTCAGGGCTGGGTTTAGAACTAGGGGTGGGCAGGGGTGGCGGTCTCCTGTTCCCGAGCTTGGATTCATCTCCCCACGGTACCACCGGTCCTCAGCCTGCCCTCTGGGGCAACACATTTTCCAAATCGACTTCCAGAGGGGGGAGACAGCTCCTAAGGTCTCCCGCAGTCTTCTCTCGTTGGGGCAAGCACTCCCACTTCCTGCAGTGCTTCCTCTTAGAACGAAGTCTCAGACACTTTACCTTTCAGCTATGACATGGTAGAAAGTACGCTCAGGTGCTCCTTAGAGCAATGAGTTCAGATTTCAGTCCTGTAGCTTATTAGCTGTGTCATCTCAGGCAATTCACATAACTATGCTTAGGCTCCAAAAAGGAGTGATATAAAAGAGGTGAGACCATCTCCTCTCAGGATTGTACGGATGAACCGAGGGACTCGGTGTGAAGCTGCCAGCGTATAGTAGGAGTTCAACAAATATTCATCATCAAAGCAATTTCAGTGTCTAAGTGTGGATGCTGGGTGTGGATCATGGCTCAGACCCTTTAATATAGCAGAGTAGTGGCCACCTCTGTCCATGCACTTGGCATGGAGGATGGACATTTTAACGTGTGACATTCCTGTGCTAGGCTGGAAACTTCTGCAGGGCGGGAGCCGTCTCTTAGTCACTGTTGCTGGTGCCTGGTGTAAAGTGAGTGCCCAATAGTGCTTATTGAATGACTGGTGCTTGAGCGTTTTATGAATGAGCTGCAGCCTCTGTAACCTATGAGGGTATCATTAGCTGGCGCTAACCAGCCTCTCCACTCCCCTCTCCCCTCTCCTCCCCTGCAGCCCGCCCAGAAGATGTCGGCACCAGCCTCTACTTTGTAAATGACTCCTTGCAGCAGGTGACCTTTTCCAGCTCCGTGGGGGTGGTGGTGCCCTGCCCGGCTGCGGGCTCCCCCAGCGCGGCCCTTCGATGGTACCTGGCTACGGGGGACGACATCTACGACGTGCCGCACATCCGGCACGTCCACGCCAACGGGACGCTGCAGCTCTACCCCTTCTCCCCCTCCGCCTTCAATAGCTTTATCCACGACAATGACTACTTCTGCACCGCGGAGAATGCTGCCGGCAAGATCCGGAGCCCCAACATCCGCGTCAAAGCAGGTAAAGGACCAGACGCCGGCTCCTCTCCTGGGAGAGCTCACTCTGCAGGGTGGGAATGGGGAGCAGGCAGTGCCTGTCATTCTGAGGATGTGTGTGTCACATGGAGGAAGTCAGCCCCTCAAGGAAAGTTTTGCTGTTCTTTGGAATCTTAGCTTTGCTGCTTACTGTGTCTTTAGGCAGAGAACACACCTTTCTGAGCCTCTGTTTCCTCATCTGCAAAGCTGATGCCAGCACCTACCCCATTCATCACTCCATGCGATGCTTACATGAGCTAGCACCCCTTTAAATTAAGTAATGTGCTCATTTCAGTACTTGATTCATGGAAAACATTCAGTGAGTTTCTTTTGTTAAAAAAAAACCCTTTTACTGAAATAGAACATATAAAAAGAAATGCACACATTGTAAGTATATAGCTTGATGAATTTTCACAAAGTTTAACTAATATCCAGATGAAGATAGAAGTGCCTCCAAAAGCATCTTTGGGCTTTTTTTTCCAGTCACTCCTCCCTTAGGGGAAACCACAATCCTGACTTCTAACAATATAGATGTTTGCCTGGTTTTGCACTTTATCTAAATGGAATCTTACGGTACGGATGCTCTTGAGTCTTTCTTGTTTGTGGGGTTTACCCCTGCTGCTGTGCGACGTTACAGGTCTTTCATTCTCATTACTGTGTGGTCTCCTCTGACTACACTGCACTTTATTTATCCATCCCACTGTTGATAGACATTTGAGTAGAGGGTATCTCATGAGAACAGGCATTTAGGTAAATTTTTTATGATGGAAAACTCTTAGCAGTGGAGGATCTTGGTCTTGGGAAGAGTTGAAGGAGGCAAAGAAGTGAGGGCTTCTCAGCTGGTCTCTTTAAAGATGCTAGAAAGTCTCATTTCTCTGGGTTAGGTCTGGAGGTGAGGGAATGGCTTAAATCACTTACTCTACTCTTAGCTGGGGTGTCATGATAAACTGGTGTGTCCTAATCCCTTGTAAAGTGTACCTCAAATAATAATAAAGCACTGAAGTTTGGGGAATGCTTTTCTTAGAAGAGTTTTTTGGTGGGAGAGGACAGGGAGTGTCCTAGCTAGCCCACGTGATGGCACCAGACTTTGGGCACGCCATCTTTCCTGGAGATTGTGTTGGGCAGAGGAGAGTGGGTTCCGGGGAAGTCTCCTCAACCTGCACGCCTGGTGACAGATCCTGCAAGATCTCTGACTTCCTGGGCTTGCAAGAAGTCAGCCCCTCAAGGAAAGTTTTGCTGTTCTTTGGAATCTTAGCTCCGCCACTTGCTGTGTGTCCTTAGGTGGAGAACACACCTTTCAGATCTTCAGTTTCCTCGTTTGCAAAGCTGATGCCAGCACCTACCCCATTTATTGTGAGATAGTTAAGTGAGATGGGGCCCTGTTGAATTAAGGTCCTTCTGCCTCAGGAGCGCCTCTCACATGTACAAGTTTCCAGGTAGCTGGGAGTGGGTGTGTAGGGGGTGAGGTGGGGTGAGAGTTCTTAATTAGAGCTAGTCTTCATCCCACTGGCTTGTTGGTGGGGAGGGCGGGCATTCTTAGAACCCAGGGCCATGCTGAGGTATCTCCCCTGGGGCTCCCATGGAACCTCTTTTCAGGGGGCGGCACCATTCCTCTAACATGACACGGGTGCTGGACTGGGGGCCCCGAGGCCTGGATCGGGAGCCCAGTTCTGGCTGCCAAAGCCGGGAGGGTTGGGCTGAGAGGAATTGATGTCCTGTTTCCTATTACACGCCTGTTGTTGGGTTAGGATGCAGTATTCGCAGTAATCCCGTCTAGTGTTTCTTGCCAGTGAGGGAACTAAGACAAAGGAAGGTTAAGCCACTTGCCCAAGTGTACATCGCCAGGTAGTCACGCCATGTGGCTCTAATGACAGCGTTGTCACAGTGCTTTCCATGTGCCGGACCTTCTACCTGCTGCTGCTATTACTATTATTTTATTACTATTATTTCCTTTTACCAGCAGGGAAACTGAGGCTGCAGAAAGTTAGGTAGCTCTTATGCAGGGTTACACTGCTGCTCAGAGGAGGAGGCAGGACCTGCTTGTTTGATGCCCCTAACCACAGGCCTCTGCTGGCTCTTGGGGACTGTCCCAGCGGTGTGCTTTCCACTCCCCACTCTGCTTCCCTCCAGCACTGACTCCCCTTCGCCTCCTGTGTGCTCTCCTTGCATCCACATCCTCATGCACAGACAGTGCCACACCCAACCCACGAAAGGGCGGACCGTAGCCCCTCGGAGTGGGCAGTGCCTCTCTCCACGCCTCTCCCCTCCACCTCAGCTGTATCTCTTCCCATCACAGCCACAACACGGGGAAGGGAAGAATAAAGACCTGGGGAGGGCTGGACAGGGCTGGCCCGTTGGGAAACACAGCCAATTAAGAAGCTCTAGATGAAGCCAGAGGGGCTGCAGGTGCACAGCCGGAGGGGCTGCAGGGCCCTGAGCATCACCCTGGCAACCGTGGCAGGGAGAGCAGCAGGGCACGCTGCCCAGGTGCCTGCTGAGGGACAAGGTCGGTAGGCAGGGGGGTCCTGGCTGCACCAGCTCTGCCTGGCAGAGAAGTGGAAAGACCGAGGAGGTCTCTGGGAGAGGCCAAGCTGAGGAGGACAAGAGAGAGGCAGGCCCCTTGGCCCCACCCCTCAGGTTCGTCCAGCTGGCCAGAGGGACCTGACACATAGAATGCCTGCAGGTGACAGTGTCCCGGAAACCATCCCTGGGACCGAGCCGGAGGCCCCCACTGCACACTGTTGGGGAAGGGATAGTCTGAAGGCAGGGCAAGACTGGGGGTGAGGTGGTAGGTGGTGTCAGGAGCGGAGGGAAAAGCAGCAAGGATTTTTGGTGCGAGGAAGGCAATTAGGTTTACTTATTCATTCTCAGAGGAAGTATTGGGGATTGAGCCCAGGACCTCATGCATGCTAAGCATGCAGTCTGCTACTTGAGCTGTACCCTCCCCACCAAGGATGCTTTGTTTTGGAGAATCTTAGAGATGGCCCTGTCTGTGGGGTTCTGCATTTTCAGAGATAATCACAGTTTCAAATATTCTTCCCCATTGTCCTTGTAAACCACCGAGTCCTGCAGAAAGTTCGGTATGTAAACTTACATTTTCCCAGGCTGCCTTTCACATTGAAGTGGTACGGAAATCTGTTGCTAGATCATGTGTCACAGTGGTTATTTTGGCAGATGATGGTCCCCATGCCCCAAACTCTTACCACCCTGGGCCCAGGAATAATGTAGGAAATCAAGTGTGGTTCCCTTGGAAGGGTTCCGGCCTGTCTCCTCATTACCCACACATTGTTGAACACAACCCCATTGCAGGGCAGAGGTGCTGCCCTCAAGGCCTTTACAATCTAACGCCGTTTGCTAAAACTCACCAAAATTGGCAAGGCTGGAAGTTGGATTTATGGTCTTGCGGAGGGAGGCTGACTATTTCTGAGGGAGAGAGGGTGCCGGCTGGAGCGGGAAGGGATTTGCTGGAGAGGAGGTGTTCAGGCGGGGGGGGGGGGAGGGAACGTTCTGAGCCAGGTGAGGTGGAGGCGGGGAGAAGAGGTTAATGGGGGGGCGTGGGCCGTGGGGGTTCTGGAGGGGAGAGGAACTTCTGAGCCAGGTGAGGTGGAGGCGGGGAGAAGAGTTAATGGGGGGCGTGGCCTGGGGTTCTGAGAGGTGGCTTTCTTGGGCCCTCCACTGTGTCCCAGCCGATCCTGTGACACCCTCTTCTTTCTGCCCCACCCCCAATCTCTGCAGTTTTCAGGGAACCCTACACCGTCCGGGTGGAGGATCAAAGGTCGATGCGTGGAAGCGTGGCCGTCTTCAAGTGCCTCATCCCCTCTTCAGTGCAGGAATACGTTAGCGTTGTGTCCTGGGAAAAAGACACAGTCGCCATCATCCCAGGTAAGCGAGAACGGCAGGGTCGCACAGGCGGGGGCGCGGTGGGTGGGGTGCGGCCGGAAAAGCAGAGGTGCTGAGTTGGTGGTTGAGCTTAGCCAGGTCTTGCCATTGGTTCTGGTGAGCGCTTTTTATTGTTCTGGTGATACTGTGGCAAAAAAAGCGTGTTTGGTCTTGGCTTGGTGCGTCTCTGTGTGGCAGGGTGAAAACCCACCTGCCAGTGGCTTCTGTTGCGTGTGAAGGTCGCGTCAGACACTGGGTGGTCCTACTCTCCCAGAGCAGTGGGGTCACCATCTTTCCTGACCACCGGGTCTTTGCTTGCCCTTGGCCTTAGGGATGGGAAGCAAGGCTGGAAGGAAGGACCTTTTCTGTGAATGATCTGATATGTGGTCCGTGTTCCTGTGTTGAATGACTTGAGCAGTGAGCGCCGGATTCTCGGAGGACCAGACTTGAGTGAGCACGCACGTGGGACTTTTATTTCACGAGCTGCCTGAAGACCCCATCAGAATTCTCGCCAGCCTCACGCCAGGCCTGGTGGTGGGAAAAGTCTGATACCATGTTGTAGGGGCACCTTGTTAGAGCCACTGTGATTGCAGGCTGGTTCCTGTTCCCTATGCAGGGTTGTTCCATCAATAGGAAAGCAGGTCTGGAAACCCAAGAGAGGCCCTCAGAGCCTCGAAATACCTCCAGGCCTCCAGTTACAAAACTATGGGGTTTGTCCACCCATCCAGCTTTTCCCCTCATCCCTGCACATTGCAGAGGCTCTGTTGATTTTTCTTCCTTTCTCTACCAAGGACGTTGGTTTTCCTCTCTGTAAAATGGAGGGATTTGACCAGATGCTCTGTGAGTGCCCCTCCAGTGTTGATGGCCCACCAGCTGGGTTCTAGCTGCTCAAGGTCTTCAGGTTAGTTGGAGAAGATAGACTTCTATTTATGAAACCCGTGAAGCCAGGGTTCTCAATCCTGCTGTGTATTTGGATGCCTGGGGAGCTCTTTGAAAAGCAGCAGTGCTTGGGCCCACCCTGAATCCGTGTCTCCAGGAGTGGATCCTGGGCGGCAGCAGTTTTAAATCTCCTGAGGTGGTTCCAAGGTAGAGCTCTCAGACAAACCAATGTTTAGGTACCGTGGTCGTGAACGTGGCAGGATACTTTTTTTTTTATTTGAGACAATGATTTGTGTTTTGCTCTTGGAACTTCTTCCTTGTCTCATCCCCCAGCGGACGCCCAGGTCAGTGTATCTCTTGGTCTCAGAGCTTGTAGGAGGACCGGAATCAGAAGCTACTTGAAGACACCTGCTCTTTTTGCCTCATGTAAAGCTATAAGTGAGCAGGAAAGGTTAGGACGGGTGTTCTGCCTGGGGAGGAGATCCTCTGAGAGCAGTGAGCAAACAGAAGACAAACGGATGCCAGAGGCGGGGGTGCTGTAGGGTACTCAGTGGGTGCAGCTGGAGGAAGTGGTCGGACCTCGCAGGGGTGGCGGTGTGTGTCTCCGTGGGGTCTGGGACTGAGGCCAGCCAGGCTCTTGTGTCCGAATGAGGCATAAAGTGCCCAGCTCAAGACCCAGAGTGACCCTGCAGGCAGGGAAAAAGGGCTAGTGAGGACCACAGAAACCCTGCGCCTTGGTACATCCCTGGCTGGAAACCCCAACAGTGATGCAGATTGGATGTCCTGTCTCTCCAGCAGAGTCAGACTGAGGGTGATTTAAAGAACTGTGCTATTTCTGATACACTTGAATTTATGGACTAAGAGTTATACTCATTCTAATAATAATATTAATATTAATAATAATAATAATAATAATAATTTTGAGTACTTTCTATATGCCAGGCACTAGGCTAAGAAACCTTCATATATGATATCATTTTATCCTCACAAAATGTCCCTCAGTGTATTTTTTTCCCTTCCACTTTACTGAAGAGGAGACGGGCTCAAAGAAGTAAAGAGACCTGAGGGTCACGCACCTTGTCAGGCAGAGGGCGGGGGTGAACCTGGGTCTGTTCTTTCAGCCTGTGCCCTGAACCCCGCACAGAACCTCCTCCCGGCCCCTGTGCAAATGTACCCAACAAAGCGTTACTTGGAGCACAATGGAGGCTCATGTGCTGCAGGCATGAGGGCCTTGGCCGGAGGGGGAAAAAGTCAATGTTGGTTTTTAGGGAAAGGTCTGTGGAACTGTGTTGCGCATAGTGGTTAAGAGCCCAGACTCTAGGATCAGACTGCCTGGGCTCCAAACTCACTCTTCTGGGCAAGTCTTTTACCTCTTTGGTGCCTCAGTTTCCCAGTGATAATAAAATGGGGGTGATGATGGAACGACTTCAGAATGAGTTCATGTATGTCACGTGTTTCCAACGCCGCCTGGCACCCACTGAGGCTGGGCTGGAGCCGCGATGGTGATTATTAGGGGGGAGGAGAGCATCTTCCGCTTTGTGCCGCGGTTTCCTGTTGCGGTGTCTGCATTTCTGTGTGACAGGGTCTGCATCCTCCACTAGACGAGTTTTCCGAGGGTGGGAATGGGGTTGTTTTTGTGCACACATCCCTGGCTCCTAATGTACCACTTTGCACCTCCAGGACAAATGCTCACCAGATGTTCAGTGGGTGCAGGAATGGATCGTTGGGAGAGTTCTGAAAGAATATGGGAACAGCGTGCACAGAGGCACTGAGATATGGACGAGTGCCGGGGGCATGGGCTAGTCAGAGGCTCAGCTCAGCAGGAGAGACGGAGGTTAACCTGGCTCCTGGGCGTAGGAGCTGGAGGCAGTGAGCTTCCCCCAGGCTCACTGGGGCTGGTGCTTATAGTTGGTGCTTCAGGGCTGTCTTTGATGTCGAGCCTGGACTCGGGGCCCCAAAGGGCATAATTATCAGGGAAGTGGGCTGGACGCTAATCTGTAGGGCTCTGTTAAATGCTGGTTCTGTAGTACCCCGTCCTTTCCTTGAGCCTTGGAGAATTTGCCTCCCCTGCCCAGCTCTCTGGCCCCATCCAAAATCATTCTAGATCCTTGTATAGCTATGTTTTAGATCCATGGGTGGACTTCCCAAAGCACACGAACCCAACTAACATGTTCCCAGAGGACCCCCCGAGGACGAGAGCGGGTGGAGTTTTGTAGGTGAGGGGCCAGAACTTGGGCCCACACGCAGCAGGCTTTACTTCTGGAAAATGCAAATTGTTTATTGATTCTTTTTTTTTTCAATAAAAATAGAATTCTATGTCATCCATTCCACACTGTACTGAGTGTGTGTGTATGTGTGTGTGTGCTGGCTTGGATGTTGGACGGCAGCTTCTCATGGCGGGGGTTGCATTGAGGTTAAGTAAGCACCAAGGAGCCTGAGTTACTGCCCTCTGACACTTCAGGATCTGCTTCTGGAGCAGGGAGAACGAGGCTGACTTTGCTCTCTGGATATGCAGGGCTGGGCTCAGATCTCCACAAGCCACAGGGCCAGCAGGAGTAGGTGCTGGGGAGCAGGAGGAGGAGCAGGAGGCTGGTGTGGGCCAGTCAGGGCCCACAAAACATCTCCTTGGGGAGAGCAGGTGCTCTGGGAGGAGGGGCCCTATGGGGTGGGTACAGGCCCCTGTAAATGAGGTGCCGGCCCTCCAATGCCTCTCTGAGGAGCATTGGGAGGAATTAGAGGCTCAGGTCCTCAGCAGGCTCCAAGAGTTGGGCACTGGCTCATGGGTTGGCTGTCCTAGCTGTCCATGCTGGGAGGGGTAGGCAGGCATCCAGGAGATGGCCTCTGAAACTCTGAGCACCCTTTGGGCTGTGCCTTTCACAGGGTAAGTAGAGGCTGGAGAGACAGCCCAAAGTGCTCCTAGAGCGGCCCGCTGCACCTGCCCCTCTCCTCCATCCTGTCCCCGAAGCTGGTCATCTTCCTCCCATCTGGCTGTTCAAAGAGGTGTGTGTGTGAAAGCACAGAGCCTCTCACCTATGAGCTGGCCGACTCCTACTTCTTACTTCTCTCCCTGGGGACTTGGTCTGGAGGTGAACTGGCTCTCCAGAGCAGGCAGGGTGGGGGTAACAGGGCAAAGGGCCGTGCACAAACATAGATTAAAATTAAGGCCTCTGGTGAAGCCAAGATGTGGTTTAATTTCCCATCTGCATGATCACCATTACAATGCATGTTATTGGATATAAAGATAAATCCAGCCCTGTTCCTAATAGCTTTTAATTTCCACCAGACCTGATTATATTGATGCAGGCTCCTTGTGGGAGTTTCCCAGCATGCCCTTCCCCAGCATCCTGACTGGCTGTCTGGGCCCCAGCGGGGAGTTTTGGACACTGCTCAGATGCGGGCCAGATGTATCTGCCAGTGCGCTGGGAGACCAGCCTGGAGCAGCTCCCTTGTCTGTGTGGACGGGGCTCTCGTATGCTGGGTTGTCTTCATGCCTTGGTCAGGTTGGGAGTGCACTGGGGACACTCTGTGTTGGGGGAGGGGAGAAGCAGGAGCAAGGAGAAACTGGCCAGGGTAGGGGGGTCCTTTCTGAAAAGTGGGCGGTGCTCCCGGACCACTTTTGAGAGTGAGAGTCAGTGAGCTCCCTACCCTTCTCCCACCTCCCTGTTTGTCTCCAGGGTTCCAAGTTGCTCACAGGTTTTTGTATCTGAGTTTTGTCCTGCGTCTCCTCTGCCTGGTCTACACTGATCCCCTCTTCTCCTTATGAGAAGGATGCTGTGCTCCTCTTTTGTCCTTTAAACTTGGTTCACATGTGTCCCCTATCGTGAGGCCTTACATAAGCCTTAGCAGAACTTACCGCTCCTCTGATTCCATTCTCGGAGCACTTTATTGCGTCTCCCATTATAGGCAGTTGATTCTGTGTGTCTGCTGCAGGAGGGTGTACAACTGTATCTTTTCCATCTCTTTATCCTGAGGGCCCTCATAGCACTTGTTAAAACAACAACAACAACATCATAATAATATTCACGATAATATTTATCATGTATTGAGACCCCCTTTGTGTTAAGTGTTATCTCGAATCCTCACAATAACCCTTTAAGAAAGATAAAGTTTTTTAACTGATTGGA